TCAAAAGACCACACTCACATCGCCTGTAATAAAATAAAAGAGTCTGCCTGTAGTAGGAGTTTTACGACACCTGCAGCACAATATAATAAAATAATAATGTCACATTATTGCCGAAGAATAGAGGTGCCACACTAGAGTAACAAACACAACAAAAAAAGGAGGAGGAGAGATAAGGATGATAGATGTTTTAGTTTAGTTTTAGTAAGCGTTTTACGGCACTGGCAAAGAGAAGAGTAAAGAGAAGAGTAAAGAGAAGAGTAAAGAGAAGAGTAAAGAGAAGAGTAAAGAGAAGAGTAAAGAGAAGAGTAAAGAGAAGAGTAAAGAGAAGCACAGCGGCACAGTAATGGTCTTTTAGTTTTAGTAAGTGTTTTACGGCACTCGCAACAGCATTAGGTCATATGAGCACCAGAGAATCAGAGGCGTTGCAAGAGAGTAACAAACATAAAAAAGAAGAAGGGGAGATAAGGACGATAGCTTTCTATAGTAGGAAAGAAGGAGCAAACACCACCAGAGCATCCGCCAACCACCCACTGATAGATGTTTGATAGTAAACAAGGAATTTTTTACAAGTTTCTTTGTTTCGTTTGAGTAAAGAAAAGAATATATGGACACAATACTAGTCATTAAGTGCTGTGGAAAAACAGAGACAGACACAAAGACAGACAGACAGACACAACAGAGGGAAAGTAAAGAAGTAGGATCTACCAGTGGAAACCTCCATAAGAGGAATTATGAATTACTTGATCAAAGATAAAAATTGTTTTGTTTTATGTTTTAGTAAGCGTTTTACGGCACTCGCAACGGCATAAGGTCATTATAAGCGCGCGAAACATAACTGGGTTGCATTCACAACAGCTCATTGCACGGTTAGGTATGGGTCAACGATCAGATTTTAAAATGTTAAAAACCTGAGGAAAAATAATGATCTAAAAATGGTAATCTGCATTTACCAAAAAAAACACCTCAAAACATTGAACAGGAATGTCAAATCACTTGATCACAGAAAGAAAAAAAATTGTCTGGAAAAACTCAAAATGGGAATGTCAAATTGTCAGAGGAAAAAAAATAATACAAAGTTTAGAAAAAACAAAACAAAAAGAAATGTGGAATGACTTAGTTGTAGTTTTAGTAGAGGTTTTACGGCGCTCGCAACTGCATAAGGTCATATGAGCGCCAGAAGATTAGAGGTGTTACAAGAGAGTAACAAACATAAAAAATAAGAAGGGGAGATAAGGACGACAGATGTTTGATAGGAAAGAAGAAGCAGCAGTGGAATGACTTGATCAGAGAAAAAAAAACCTAAAAAACTAGAGAAGCCCATGCAGACTCCAGAAAATATCATTCACTCAAAATAGCAATGTCAGTGAAAACACAATCCACAAACGGCAAAAATCCATCGTGTAAGTTTTAAGTTTCAGTAAAAGAGTTTTACCTCACTCGCAACACAAATAGGTCATATGTGAGGCAGCGTGGTGGAATCAGGCTCTCGTCAAAATAATCAAAGTTAAAAAATTTGCATTTTTCCTCAGGTTGGTGAGTTTTTATCAAATGTTTGTTTTTTGGCTCAACACCTTTCATGCCCATTAAAGAACTCATTTCTGGGTGGATTTTTCTGAAAATCACTGATTAAAGGAACAAAAAATGTAAATTTTCAGTTACCACGGACTCTTAAGCTAAGGAAATAACTAATCTTTGGCGGCCATTTTCTCACTAATTTTACCTCTGAAAACAGGTGACCCCACCTCCTTCTTTCGCAAATATCTCGACTTGTATTCAAGATAAATGAATATTTTTTTTCATTCTAAGAATCACCAGTGAACAAGCTTTAAGATGACTACAATAACTCTACATGCCCAAAAATTGACGAGTGCCTGATTCCGTCGCATTGTGACACATATACCTGCCGAAGATTAGAGGTGTTACTAGAGAGTAACATACAAAGAAAAGGAGGAGGAGAGATCAGGACAAAAGATGTTTGATGGAAAAGAAGGAGCAAACCACACCAGAGCACCCACCAATCACTCACCCCCATCACGAGATATTATTCATTAAAGCAAGCCCCCCCCCCCCCCCCCACCCAAAAAAAACAAAAAACCCAAACAAAAAACAACCTAATTTAAAAAAAACAAAATCACAGACACGAGGTACCAGTACACACCTCCTGCTCACTTTAAACTCTTGACTCTGACATAAAACTTAACACATAATTTTTTTAAAACCAAAGATATTCATACTTAAGGAAAAATAAAATGTGTATATATCTATATCTACATCTATATATAGTTTTTACATTAGATCAACAAAAGTTGGTTAAAGAACTGCTGATAACATGACAGAACACAATATCTTGTAAATAAAAAAACCAAAAACACAAAATTAGATTTTCCCCCTCAAAATTCTACTTTAAAAAAGCATGTCATTCAAAGACAGAAAAACAGTACAAGTGACAAAAGGTGCCAAATGGTACCAAAAACAAAGATGCGGTAAACGTGCCAACTGGTACAAAAACAAAAACAAAAACAAAGATGCTGTAAACGTGCCAACTGGTACAAAAACAAAAACAAAAACAAAGATGCGGTAAACGTGCCAACTAGTACAAAAACAAAACAAAACAAACAAAAAAATGCTGCATATGTGCAAACTGGAATAAAAACAAAAGATGCATTACATAATATGAGGGCCAAATGAAACAAAAACAACAATTTTAATTTTTTCCGTTGGCTGTCGTTTTCGGATTAACTACGACGCTTGGTTTCAGTGAACTCAACCGCAGTCGAAAGAACCTCATACAAGAATGCGTATGATGTATAACCGGAATCAACAACACGGCAGTACCATATTTCAACAACTGGTCACACGCCTGCTTCAGAGCACTCCCGACATCATCTGGTATGCCGATGCACAATTGCCCCGCTCCTGAAAAATTCCAATGTGTGAGCTCTCAAATCCTAGTTGAAAAATTTGCAAGCTCAGGAGACAGAAACTGTCTTTCTGTTTCCACTGGGCTATTCCACGGTCACTGATGGGACAGAAAAATAACTTCCTTTGTCCTGTCAGTTACCGTACCGAAGCTAAACTCATCACAGAATTTACATAAAGTACGTTATTTTCCAACGACTGCATTTAATAATATTCTTAATGTATGTCGTTCAAATGTTCTGATCATGTGAAGTTGAAATAAATTAATCGATATTGAATGACAGTGTTATCATTGTAAGAAAGTATAGTCCAAATGTCCCGTCAGTTACCGAGGAAAAGACCTGCAGCCTGTAAGGACAATCACTGAAAAAAATATGCGTGCTTAATATGGGGCATATTGGTCCTGATTTGTACAATGGCAGAAGTAAAATACGCCCAGAATGACGAGGGATCGTGGCAAAGGCTATCACACGCCCCACAGATGGATGGAACCCCAGAGGGACAGAAAAGAAAGAAGAAAGACAGGCAGACAGGAACCACAGAGGGAAAGAAAAGAAGTAGTAGGACCTACCAGTGGCCCGACAGAGGAACTCATTTGGCACAACCGACTGGCAAAAAAAACTTTAAAACATTTTTAAAACAATTTATGTGATGAAGATTGCACTGAAAATTTTTTTTAAAAATAAAACAAAGTATCAAAATACAAATTCAAACAGAAGATTTAGGAAAATCTCCCAATGGATTAATTTATAAATAAATGAAGTCAACTAAAAATTGATTGATTGCACAGTACAATGATTAGCACAAAAAAAAAAAAAATTCATTAAAAAAATCTTGGCAGCTTAAAGTATAGGGAAGGGAGATCACTACGCACAACAAGCGCGGCGAAACAAATCACGAGGAGTGAATCCAGATTTTGGAGCACTCAACCCTTGCTCATCACAAACACGTCACGTTGAAAGGAAAAACAGATTATTTTGTATTTTTGCGTAAAGAGAGGCACATCGCTACAACAAAAGGGTCATTCGGTGCTGGGGGAGAAAGGCTAGAGATCACAAAGCACAGCGACTGGGGGGGTGGGGTGGGGGTGGGGGGGGCAAGACTTTCCAGTGGCACCCTCCAACCACCCACAATACATCCTGCGAGGAGGATGCGAATAAATTGTAATTTTACACGTCCAGCTTAAAAGCAAACGATTAAGAAAAGAGAGAAAAAAAAAGCCGGCAGCGTGGATGTTATATCGACAGTAATAGGAACAAGAGAAACAGTGATTGAGAGCAAGAACGAATAAAGTTCATCTGTAGAGAATGTAATCTCATTGTAGTTCTCCTTCCCCACCCCCCTTCCACAACCACACACACACACGCACGCACGTACGCACGCACACACACACGCATGCACGCACACACACTCGCACACACACGCACGCACACACACACACACACACACACACACACACACG